GGAAATATAAGCAGATATGGAAAGGATGAATAACAACTGGAAGGAGCTGGAGAGGATTGCCCAGGACAGGGTTGGATGGAGAATGCTGGTGAGCGGCCTATGCTCCTTCACGTGGAGTAACAGGCGTAAGTATTGCTGCAGGATGATTATTTTATGAATATAATTATATTACTGATAATATATTAAGTAGTATATTATTCAACACCAAAACCGAAGAATAAAGCTCGGTAATCTTTTCTGTGTAAATTTTTGTAGTAAACAAAATAAGATTTTTCATTGATCCTTTCTTCAATTATAAGAACAGTTTTATTATAAACATGAAGTTTTTGAGGACAAAATAACAAGTAGTGTTCATTTGAATGTCTTGGGATTACAGAACAGCTTCATTAATACTTATAGTAACAATAATATGATTTTGTATAACTTGACTTTACTTCAATTGAATATGCGGTTTATATTTCATATGCAGACAATTTTTGCTACCATACCCTTACATTTCACACCTCTATATGATGGTTGCTTGATACTTCAATGACTGAACTTTAGTGTCCATTCATCCAGAATGTAATTAATAATCTTAATTGTTTGAAGACCCCCCATCATATTAAAAGACTAATATTTGAATGAAGAATAATCTTTTTGATAAATTCTCTTTGTTACCGAATACGCACTGTATGTTCTACGGATATAGATAAAGAAAAGCTAAACACGTTGGGTTACCCAAGAAAGTTTATAGTTAAATACATGATCACATAGGTGAGAATAAGCGAAATACAAACAGTGATTGAGAAATCCCTGTTTATGCGTTTACAACTCAGAGAGGATGCGGCTAGTGAAATATTAACCCAGAGATTACGCAGAACAATCCAAAGAAATTTCAACGTCAGAGAACTACGATAAGTATTTCCTACGCGCCCAATGGTGATACCGAGGCTAAAAGATGAATTACCCAGAATGACCATCTCATTTTGTATTTATCAGTTCGACTGTTCCTGTGGAGCAAGTTATGTTGGTCAAAGTTCTAGGAATTTACATTTTCATGCTCCCAAAGTGTCTAGGCAAAGGTCTAGTAAAGAAAGTGAACAGCTCAATATTGACCCATTTAGTGCAAACTGGTCATAGTGCTAATCCTTTTTCAATTATTTATCGAGACAGCAATTTTTCGCCAAAGATTGTCAGAATTAAAGTCTTTCAAATAGATGAAGTAATAGTCATCCGGATGAAGAAACCAAAGCTATGCGTACAAAAGATATATCTTTAACCGCTTCTTCTCCCCTGGCCAACCTCAAGGCCAATTAGTCAATAGTAATCTTAGTTATTGAATCACCTAATTTGACTATTGTACTTACGACCTTTCGTAGTCAAATGTGATTTTCTCTGTTATCTTTATTCATAAATCTATGTATTATCATTATTACTGGTTAAGCATCATTATTAGTCTCTCCAATACATAATTCATTTACTTCACGTTCATCCCACCTTATTATTTTTTACACAATATAGTCTTCTATTAAACATTTGATCGCATTGTAATTACACCCTATCTGACCTACAGTTATTTTGATCATGGATCTTAAAATTTCCCCTTGACATATAAGCTGATTCAAGTTAACATTCCATATGAGTTATATTCACATTACCATCGTGGATGCACACTGCTGAGGAGTCCCATACTACGACGAAACGATCGTCCAGTGCTTTCAAGTTTTCCATAGTGGTCTAGTTTGAATTGACTCATGAATTTAACTATTAAATTACTATAACATCCACAAAACCACTTTCAGATTATTCTATTTTGATTGACAATCCTAAATTCATATGCTTTAACTATAAACGATACACTTTACCCTTAACCTGACCATTTTTCGGATTATTAATTGGGATATATATATAATTGTAGAACTTGGAGAAAATTTACCGAAAAGAATATTCCTCAAATTTACTTGGTGTTGTTTGCTTGTATCCTCCTATTGATGTTTTACGACTGCAATTGATCAGTCTCTTATTGGCATATCTACATACTGTGAGTATTGACTCGATATTGCCCTAATTCACAAGCATTCTAAGCAAAGATGGATAGTGGCTAGTAGTGGAATCTAGGACTCTCGTTTCGTCCTATTTGGGACTCATTAGCTGGATGTACCTCCATCCCAGACTTGTTGATGTTCACTCTGTTACTCGAACCTAATTCCATTCGCTAAGTGGATAACGTGATAGCGTTTGAAGTGAACAGTACTGGGTTCGATTGCCGAAGTAAAATGTTAACTCTAGGATGCAGATACATCCGGCTGACGAGTCCAAAATAGAACAAAACGCGCTTCAAACTGGATTCCATTTCTAGCCACTATCCATCTTTGCTTAAATAAAGTAGTAGGAAATCAATGATGACATATATAAACTAGTAACCATGATAATAAATAAATCAACATTATAAACTTTGATAGTAGTCCTACTTGTTTGCAAGGATTTAACATGTTTAAATGTAATCTCTATCGAAAAATGACATTGATTATAGCAGATTTGAAGTAACATTAAAAATAATTATTAAGCTTTATTTTGATGGAGTTTTGTTCTCTTAGCTGAATGGTTACTTAACTAATGGTTGCTCTGTTTTTTCGAAGGGACATCAGTCTCGTGACTAGTGAAGGAACTCGGCTTTCGTCATGAGGTGTCGCAACTCTTCTAAATAAAGACCTTCTAACTCCTAGGGTAGAGTTTAAATGGTTTGAATTATTTTTTTCTGGTTAGCGTTTTATTTAGCGAGTTAGTTTTCTACGGGATAAGGTCGCTAACCCCATGTCAAACCCTCCTCTTTTATCCGGCCTACGGACCAGCAGTAGCCCGAGAAGGGCTCCAGTCGGGGTTATTAGACCTTATTTTAAGGTTCATTATCAAAGGTTCACACCTACAACTATACATAATGTCATATCAAACACCCTGAAGTTTCAAAGAAAACGTGATATCATTCACCGACTGACATGGAATCCAATGATTTACACTCTTCACCTCCATTTAATTTTCAATAGTAATACAACAAGAATGATTAACTATGTACCATTCATTATCACATTTAATCTCACATGAAGTATCGATGTGACAAAACTTTTGGAATATTTATTCTTTGATGGACAGTAGTTGATTTAACTAAGCTAAACCAACTAAAAGACAAACTGTTATTATCGAAGATTGGAACGTAAGCAACAGCATGCTGTGGTAGAGAAAAAATCAGTTACTAACTGAAGAGGGAATTAGGGAGAGACTTTGGAGGTGTGTAGGACATGTATTACGGAAATCACCAAACTGCATCACGAGTCGAGCGCTTATCTAGGACCTTGGATGAAAACGGAGAAGAGGAAGGCCAAAAAGTACACTATGTCGAGAATTGGAAGTAGGCATCAGAAGAATGAATAGCAATTAGAAAGGATTGTCGAGAACAGAGTTCAATAGAGAATGCTGTTGGTTGGCCTATGTTCCTCCACGAGGAGTAACAGGCGTAAGTGAGTAACACTGAAACATTACTTAGTGTGTTTTTTACATAGTAGCTTTAAGTATTTCCATGACTTAACTTGGTCAACAATTTACAAGTATCTTTTTCTGTAAGTCTATTATTCTAAACACTAATTCTTAAATAGTTGGTAACAATAAAGTAAACCATTTCAAATCTTCTTTTTTGTAGAAACAACGGACAAAAGAAGGTGAGTCAGTTATTCATAGGAAACTTTCTTTTTTCAATAAATTTATTTTAGAATTTTTCTTATAACAACAGTCATAGGACTCAAGAGCTAACTGAATAAGACAATAGTGTTTGAAAAGAACAATACTGGTTTTCAAGTCTCGGAGTGAACATCCACATTGAAACTCAGTTACATCGAGCTGACAGGTCCCAAATAGGACGAAACGCGTGTCAAACTGTATTCCACTTCTGGCCACTATTCATCTTTGCTTAGAATGCTCGTAAATTAAGGCAATACGCACAGTATGTACATATGCCAATAAGAGACTGATCAATTGCAGTCCTAAAAATCAATGGAAAGATTCAAGTAAACAACATCAAATGAATATAACTTCTACTATAGGGGTTGTGGAAATTAGTAATTTTTTGATTGAGATCATGAACCGATTGATTTTAGACCACCTTTGGAAACCTGGACGCACTGGACGGCCGTTTCGTCCTATTGTGAGACTCCTCAGCAGTGCGCATCCACGATCACGATCGGGGGATTCAAACTTGGAGCCTTCGGTCCCGCGCGCTAATGCTTAGCCTACTGGACCACTGAGCCGGCATCAAATGGTAATAGTGTCTAAAATTAACCAATCCACGAAATCGTGCGACCATCTTCCATTATACTGAGGTAGATATCTGTCTCTACCCGACGTAGATTAGCTCCACTGGTCACAGCTTCTCACTAGAACTCCGAGAATTCCCTCACGAATATAATTTCCCTCGATTGTAAAAGCAATTGGCTATCAGAAGTCAGTAGCTAAGTGAATAACACAATGGCGTTTGAAACAAACAATACTATCTTCAAGTTTCGAAGTGAACATCCACATTGAAACTTAGGTACATCCAAATGACAAATCCAAAATAGGATGAAACGCGCGTCAAACTAGATTCTACCAGTAATAATCATCTGCATAAGATACACATATACTAACAACAGACTATTCAATTACAATCTTAAATGAATAATAAGAAGATACAAACAAACAAAAAGGTCAATGAAATGATAGACGATACTATTATTATTATTATTATTATTATTATTATTAAAGTACTTTTATATTTGAATGATATCGATTATATTGGATTGATCATTGTTGCTAATAGCAACCATCGCATTATAATTCAATCTAAACAAAGTTTATCTTACTTTCTTTAGATGAAGAAAAAAGAAAAAAAGAAAAGAAAACATTACGTAACCAAGTAAACAAAGAACCAATGAGAAAATAATTTAAAAAAAAATTTTTTTTCTATTTACTCATTCACTTTTAGTTGTCATGGTGTAAATGTTATTTGTTCTCCTAATTATTGATTATTTATTTATTTTTGTATATATAAATATAAAGGTAATCAATTTGCGTAGAGATAACGATTTCATTCAATGAAAGTATTGATTTCTCATTCATTTGATATCATTTAATTCATTAAGAATGTCAAGATCATATCCAGCGGATACAAGATCACAAAAAGTTTTAGAAGAATTATATGAAAAAGAAACTATATCACAATTGAATTGGTTTTTAAAATGTCAAGAAGCTAAGAAATTAGATGATTCCACTTTATTGACAACATCAAGTATGATGAATAGATCTGTGCCGAATATATCAACTATTTTATCAAAATTAAATCTAAAAGATAATGAAAAAGATCTTATGAAAGAATCGAATGAAATTGTTTCCAATGATGATACTGATGATAATAAGATAATAGAAGGAGAGAATAAACAAGAATTAACTATTGGACCAGATATGTTTAAACCATCACCAGAAGTATTGAAATTATTATATGAAGGAATATCAAAAGAAGGTAAAGGACGGTAAGTTTTATAAGATGAAATGAATACGTTTATTATGATGATTAATTGAAGTTAGATATTAACATTGTTGGATATTGACTAGTTGAGTGGTCTAGAAGTTAAGTGTACGTGTGTGAGATTGATAGGTTTTGGGTTTGAATCTTCCAAGGCGGAATTATGGATGAGCACTACTGAGGAGTCTCATAATGGGACGAAACGGCAGTTGATTGCTTCCAGGTATTCCATGATGGTTAAGCTTCAATTGACTGATGAATACATCTATTAAAAATTGATTTTTATTAGTCTTTTACATTTCTTATTAATAAATGATTATCATGTTTATACTTTACATCGCTTTTCATGGATTATTATAGAGTGTATTCTATTAATTGATATTCACACAATGACTTGATATCATTATACATCACTAAAACGTTCGTAAACTACTGATCCTAGATGGTGACTAACTTAATAAATATGATGTTTATTCGTTAAGATTTATATTATACTGTTGATATTTAGAGTTAAATTACCATCGGTTGGAGAATGCTGGTCAGCGGCCTATTCTCAATTGGGGGGTAACAGGCGTAAGTCAATAAGTAAGTAATTTGAGTCGGGGGCTAACATCAACATCATAATGCAAGATGGTTGTATTAATCCATCCACTTAGGATACACTTATTTCAAATAAGGGTGGTTGACAGTAGGATAATATAAACCCTTGTACACCGATTAACATTTGTCAGATAACTATAGACAGGATTTTACAGTTTCAATCAGTGATAATGTTGAAAACATCTCTGCATAAACTTGACAGGAATCTTTCTTCTATATGATAAATGAATAGAATAGTTGGTTGTTTCTTCATGCCTACTTGTGAATAGAAAAGAAAATGTATTGAACAAGCCAAGTAGTATCTATAGGGAGCCTATGCTTGGATATGGCTCTACCTCAGCTACCAGGATTTCCGTTCAGTTCACTCTAGAAAAGGATTAGAAAAAGATTTTATTTGAAAGGGTGGAAACGGAAACTGCTGATCGAAACATTGTTTCGCATGGACAACAATTTCAAGCACTTCCATCAGCAGTTTCGCTTGGCGGCTGCGTAAGATTGCAAATATCGCACAGTTTGTTGTCATAGACATGTTCGCCATTGTCTCGTTCAATGAACACTTACGAGTTAATAGAAACAATTTCTTCCTCGTCTTTACTTAATGTAGCATCTAAATCGATGTTACTTTCATAGTTGATAACTCCCGTCTGTTGGGTCAACGGAAGTGGAAGCTTTGATCTGAAACAGCATTACATCTTGAGCATTCAGGTTCATTCCATAAGATTGGTAAGCGAATTGCACAATATTGAATGCTGCTGTCCCAGTAGTCAGAAGTGGTTCAACTGTTTCAAATTCAGCGTCCGTTAACCTGAACATTCAAGAATTACTACTGCACTCGTGATTGTGATGCACATTCTCACGAACAACAGTTTAGTAACTTTCAATAAACTTACAAAAGAAGAAGGCCGGACAATGAGTGTTCATGGAAGTCCTTCATGAAAAAATATAATAACATTAATCGAATTACCTCCTTCGTCTAATTGGCTGTGAGGAACCGTTAGGTGTTCTACGGTCATTTCTCCAACATACAAATTTAATATACAGCTTCTGATCTCTAAGGAAATGAAAATCTCTCACTTCATAATGGAAGTACGTAACTCTTTCACAGGTTCTGATGGAGCTCTTTAACGCTTCAAGTGATTGGAACGCTACGAGATGCAATGTATTTAAGAATACGTTATCTGTTTCTGTTACAACGTGAGAAACGATAGAGCTCGTACTTTGTGGTATGTCCCGATAAACATGATGAATGGTAACTTTTGGAATCCATTTATGGACCAATACTATGCGTATATTTTTATTGTGTAATTGTTGTGTAATTGAGCTATTCATATTCGTGTTCCTCTTATCATGAGCTTTATTTTGACTTATAGACTATTATTGTACGATTTACCATTCTTAAGTTATGCTCAGTCTATCAATTATTATCTGCCTTATTCATAGCCACATTTGGCTAAATCTTGTACAACTGTTGTTTTCTATTTTGTGGCACGATGTGATCTGTCTGGTTGGTATATAAATCCAGTATGCTTGAAATAAACGATTCATATCGCCGAGGCTGAGATTTGTGTTCTGGACTTAACTGGCTGGGCTAGGCAGGAAGCAGGACCAATAAGGACTCTAGACTGCTCGTACGTGTTTTATTCGTCATTGGTCCGGCCAATTAATCACTGTTCTCTAATTGGCGGTATCATTACACTATACATTAACAGGGCACTCAGGCCACAAGTTATGACAGTTTGTATGTTACTATCGTTCATAATTTGAAGAAAAGATGCTCTGTCGATATTTTATATCAGTTTTAAGAAACAAACAACCAATTGTAACGAATCTAAAACTAACCATTGAATTGGACGAAACGAAATGAAGAAAATATTTGGATAATCGGATAATGTAAAATTAATATTAAATGGGTTTTGTGGATATTATAGTGCTCGCCCGCGAAACCGGTAGGTCCTGGGTTCGAATCTCGCAGGGGGCGAGGTCGTGGATGCGCACTGCTGAGGAGCCCTACAATAGGACGAAACGGCCTTACAGTGTTTCCATGTGTTCCATGGTGGTCTAGCTTCGACTGACTTATGATCTTAACCATTGAAATTAATATAAAATTACAAAAATGTCCTTGAGTTTATTGATATTCGAAACTTTAGTACACAATTGATTTATGTTACGAAATATAAGGCATAGGGAATTGCTAAAACCTTTTACAGTGCTTAAATGTAGACAATAAGAGACTTAATTAAACTGAAAAGAAAGTTCAGATTTAGGTTCAGAAGCTGTTAAACAAGGAAAATTATTCTGATTGAAAGAAATTCCCCGTTATGCTACAAAGCTAAACAGCCTGTATTAAATTCTATTATATTTATAAATTCACATAATTATATGTGAATATAGATACAAAAGGTTAAATAACCAGGATATATAATAAGAGAGGGCAGGGTATTTGAACATATCCTTATTAGGTTTCAATAGTAAATAAATTCCAATATTTCTATACTGATTTTTGGCAAATATTCGTTCGTATCAGAAGGAGTGTCGTGGAGATTGTAGTGATTTCAACAGTTGGGATCATGAGTAAATTGAAGCTAGACCATCATGGAAAACCTGGAAGCACTGAACGGCCGTTTCGTCCTATTGTAGGACTCCTCAGTTGTGCGCATACACGACCCTGTCTTCATTCTCATTTATTTCTATCTATACGGTAAATCTAATAATGACATTTGCTTGAGTCAGTCAGTCAGTTAGTCAGTCAGGCAAAACGTAGGACCAGGCACATATGTGCATTGGTCCAAGTTGCACAACAAGATGAACATAAAATTCATAGAAGTAGTCAGTTCAATGTTAGTAATATATAAAAGAAAGATTGTGTATAGGGATATAATACAAGAAGAAAGAATTAGTTGATAGAAAGAAAGATATAAAGTGATTTTAATCCCACGATTTAAAGGAGGACAAAGAGTGTACACACCACCTACGCCATTGTGATTGATTCTGAGTCAGAAGCGAATGGATAGTTTTATCAGCCAAACATCTAGCCAAACATGAATTCCAATATTATTCAAGAACAATACAGACATTAAGTAGAAGGAGACACTAATGATGTTGTCCAGAGTTATAATAAAAGCTTTTCAATCAATCTATCTACCTTACAAAGTGCAATGCCATTGAATGCATCAACCTGGTTTATAAATTAATTCTATCATTTAAAAATCATACTCGTGTAGCAGTTTTAAATGGTATTACAACTATCTGATTAATGCTTGTTTTAGTTTTATATTATGAATGGTTTCTGCATATCAAATCTAAGTCATAATCACAATTGATTGATCACTGGGTGGCGATCAATGTCATGCGTGTTTAGTCCTTATTAGTGCAGATCGAATGCTATTGATCATGTTGCAATTTGGCCACCAGTTTAGGTGACTCGACACTGCGAGCACTATATATTGAGATTAAATGGTGGTTGGAAGTAATCTACAGGAAACCCTGGATCCGGGTTTCGTGCTACTTGGCACTCGTCAGCAAGGTGTACCTGTAATCTTGAGGGAACTAGTGCCCATAATCCATAAGACGATCATATTGAATCGATTTACTTTATAATTTTTTTTCATATTTTCAGGAATCTTTATCTTCATGATCGTTATAAATTAAATTTAGAAGATAAATTCCAATTTCCTGTACTTAGTTCAATGGAATATGGTTGGGGTCATGCTGATTTAATTAGTAAATCAACTGCACAATCTAGAAAATTTGGACGTCAATGTGTTATTGAAGATTCATTTTATCGACGAACTGGGATACCATTTAAACATGGAGCTGGAATGATTGGATTAGATAAATATAGTTTTTAAAAAAGGACATTTACACCATTATAACTCATAAGGAAGCTTTTTTGTTTAATTTTAATAAATTTGTAACCTTCAACTCTTCAGGTCAAACAATCTAAGGTGACTAATTAGTTATTTCACTCAATAATAACCCATACATATCAAACGTGTAAATTCTGTATTATTATTTTATTGTTGTATTTGAACTACTAATAATTTTATAAGTAGCATAAATGTATTACGTATTTTTCATGTTGATTATTAGTATTTCTTGTGTCAGTTCAAAATTTCATTGCTCTAATGAGTTAATCATATTGTTATTAAAATTAAAAAGAATAGATACGATTATACTCCACTGAGTAACGACTTTCTATCGTCTTAAACTAAAGTTTAAGATCATAGGTAATCATCGGAAATTTGTTACTATTGTAAGCAAAGATGGATAGTGGCTAGTAGTGGAATACAGGACGCGCGTTTCGTCCTACTTAGGACTCGTCAGCTGGCTGTAGTTTCATCTCAGAGTTGAGGTTCACTCTGAGAACAGGAGAATGATTAACTAAAGTCCTAAATAACAAGGGGAAGATAAAAGTAAAACAACACCAAGTGAATATAATTTCACCCCAGTGCACAAGCAGTTGGCAATTAAGAGTCAGTAGCTAAGTGAATAACACGATGGCATCCGAAGCGAGAGACAGTGGATTGGAGTCCCAAAGTGGGCATTAACTATGAAATGCAAGCACATTCATCTAACGAGTTCCAAATAGGATGGAACACTTATCCTGGATCCCACTGCTAGTCACTATCCATTTTTGCTTAGAATGCTTGTGACTTCAGGTAACACCGAGACAGTCCGCACAGGATGCACATACGCCAACAAAAGACTGATCAATTAAAATGATTCGCACAGTGGAAGCTGATATTGCTGTTCTGGACTCAAGTGGACGGGTTAGGCGAACATAGGACCAATAAGGACGCTAAGCTGCTCATACTGGTTGAACGTCATTGGTTTGGCACAGTGATATGATTGTATAAGTCGTATTTTGATCAGTGGATAAATCACGTGATAACTAGCCGGACATAGAGTCATGACAGAAATGGTAGTTTCTGAATAAAAATAAGCGGTGAAAACAAAACACTCTAAATCAAGTTATGTATTGAATGATAGAATAATGATAATAACAGATATGTAATGAACGCTACTTGAAAGTTCCTTTTTTGACAACTACCATAAGCTGAGTTGACTTGATTACCAAGTATCTTTCTGAGCGATTAGCATCGAAGGAATGAAGAGAAGTATAAACTCAACAGCGTTATAACTCTATACCATTTTCTGTAAATAAATGTGTTTAACCACGGATACTTTTTTAAAAATTTAGTTCACTTTTTCTAAACGTTGGTTTTGTGTTGAAAGTGAAAGCAAACATGTCAGACGTTTGGGCTAAGAGCATACAGTTGTACGTGAATTGAAACAAAGAGAATATGATTCTGTATGTATTTAAGCGAAATGGAAACAATTCAGCATAAATTCATCGATATTTCAAACCTAAAGCGACTAAAAGTGGAAATGTCGTACCATTTCGCCAATGCAGGAGAAAAAGGAGAATTTTTGGCGCAGTTCCCCTTTGTTTCCCACATTTTCGCCTTTATTTCTTCTTTTTGGCTTGCTTGGGCATTAGAAATCAGTCCAGGCTATTTGTCGCACGTACAGGAGAAAACTGGACGATGTACGTGGTGCTTAGTTAAACGCTGGAAATAACGTAATTATCAATTAATTGCAAATGAAGTCTATTCCCAATTAGTACAAATAAATATCTAACATCTCGCAAAGAGAGAATATGGTATTTTGATGTAATTATGAAAAGCATCATATCTGTCTGTTCAAATTCCATATTATAATTTTGTGCTGATTGTCTGTCTTTAATGTGATCGAACAGCTGATAGTGTAGACGAAAGAATAATCTAACTTACTTCGTATATATTCTGTCGGCTCAACGTGTATGCGTTATAACGCTCGTGTTTTACTTCGTCCAATGTTGTTATAACGGTTGGGTTTCTACGTTTACACGCATGGAACGTTAATTTACCTCAAACGAATATCTACACTAGATTCTCTCCCAGTGTCTATTCTACAGGACTTCAACACAACTCAGATCAGGAACACGTGATTAGCCTGACCACAACTCAAATATATTTCCACACCAACAACCCGACACAATCCAACAACAATGAACAGTCAATGGTAAGTGAACAATAAGTAATAATAAAGATAAGGGAATATATAACTCACCTGACACACCTGTCAGACTATCTACATGTCTGACTAAGCAGACAACCGATCATCATCATTCTTGCCCACACATCAGTATGTAGGAAATGTATATTAACGGTTGATTCAGGGTACTTAGGATCCTTAGATTTCATGTATTCATTTCGTCAGACTGACTAAGACATTAGAAACAAAGACAGCAAATGTGCCTACTCAACATATCACTCCTTGCAATCGTTAACTTAATTCATGCTACATAACACACAGCCCAGTAATGACACAGGCATTAAATGAAATAATAATGGTTTAGATACCCACACAATTACACATAAGACTAATAGGTTTATAATTATAAGGGTTTGTTTACTGCATATCACAATCTCCTATGAAAAGAACAAAGTAATCAATATCGTGAATATAACTCAATAGCGACATGATGTCTGGTTAAATGAAGTTTTTCCAAATATTAGAATCAATCCCGTAGGTGTGTAATGACATAAAAGCTGCTATAGTATCATAATTTCAATGTCATTTGTATTTCTAAAACCGACCGTTTAAGCGCTTTACTTGTGAATCAAATGTATTAACTTGTAAACCACCGTCTAGTCACTGATTCATATTAGGTTTATAAAAGTTTACAAGGTGTCTGAACTATAATCAACGGATTTCTTGTCTAAGTCATTCAATCACCTCCGATTTCCTCAACGTCACATGTTACAATTACAAACAAACTAACTTGACAACAATGGACTTTTAGAGTGGTATTTAATAAGTACAAGTCATGTAACCAATCAGTTATTTTGTTATTGAAACATTATAATTTGCTCGCTTAAAGTTTATTAGTACTATGAAATTAGGTCAGTAGTTTATCATCATTCTTTAAATATACATCAAATAAACATGGCCTAATGTGGAGAAGATTTGTAGCTCAGGTGGATGATTTTGGTGGTGTTTTGTTCTCTGAGCTGGATGGTTTGGTCGTGGAGCTTTCATCGTTCTTCTGAACGACATCATCATGCGTAAATATAGGAACAAAAATCAAACCAATGGGAGACACAACCAAAACAAAGAAGTAAACAATGATAAATTTAAGGTCAACAAGAACCAATCAACATCGAGGTGCACAGAACAAGCTTTGAGACACATATGGAGAAATTCGAACACTTCACTTCTATCTGAAGTTTGTGCTGATGATGTCGTTCAGAAGAACGATGAAAGCTCCACGACCAAACCATCCAGCTCAGAGAACAAAACACCACCAAAATGGCCTAATGTTTTACCGAATATTTCATGTATCAATACTGAACACCTATCAAAGACACTTCTGTCTATACATAATACATTACGGATATAACGTTTGAATAAGAATCCTTTTGAGTTTCTGATAGTTGTTATTCACTGTCTATTACAGTGTCCAGTTTTTTCTTGATGTCATCCTGTAGCAACTCACATGCAGTTGAGTTTGTTCACATTTCATTCGGTTAAGTCATTTTGTTAACTTATTAACGAACTGAGTTATCTGTACAACAACAACAACAACAACAACAACAACAACTTATCTATATCATTGTATCGTTATCATTGTTGCGAATGTATGAACATGTAGTCTTGAGCTTTGCTTACTGCCTACGCATTTATTCACACTGCTAGCCTTACTACTAACCGCTTAATTGATTCGATGATTCATTCATTTCACTATGTATATATATGTCCATGTTATTCATGTTCATTGCTCTCTCTCTCGCTTAAGTGTACTCGCTTACTTGTACTCGTATTCGCTGACTCACTCACTAGCTCGCTTTCCTGCTCGCTTTTCGGCACAACTGTTTCATGCTTGCTTAACGCACCTGTAATTTTGAATATCTGCGTGTATGATCCCATAATAAACGTAATCAACACTTCGTATTCGCCTTCTAATTAATATACCGTTGGGGCGTCATCTAGTGACGGTTATCATGACGAACTGTATACGAAGTTTAAGGACTATACTGAATACCGACCACCACAATGCACTAATGGGACTAATAAAATGTATTCGGACATGTGATGAAACCCAGTAAAAGAGCTTATTTATGTTATAACAATACTCACAGTTACTAATAACATACCAAAAAAGACTAACACCATAACAAGCAGCACTTACAACAAAATAGTACATTAAATAACAAAATGAGAACAACCGTTACGAAATCAATAATGCTCGCAAGCTCCTTCTGAAATAACAACCACAAATGAGTTCTCTTGATCAACAACGATTCCTCTGCACGTCATAACACCAACGGCGTGATGAGAAAGACAAATCCAATGAGACCACAATTTATAGACGAAACAACCAGATTTAAGATAACAAGTCTTGGATTTTGGTGTAAAATTCATCCATTCATTTCACTAAATAACATTTTGACATTATAGCTGATGTCAGTTTGTGTTTTTAAAAAAATCCTGAATCTAACTTCTAATCCTAACGTACTGCTGTAAACCTTAATCCTGATTCCTCATACAAATCTATAACCCAGTCGGTAAGTGGGTATTATCAAGGTCAATGTAGCGTCACTCAAAAACCGTCTATAAACTATAGTCTTGTAGTGACCTACTTTTATCAACGGAACGAGATTGGTTTAATCGACACAATTATTATTATAAGCAATTGTACCAGTGATTGTTTTACTGTACTCGTTTGTTTAAATGTACCAAAGACATTCTTCCTGCCGTTGATTGTGACCTTGCACGAACTTACGTTTGCTCAGTGATTCCGCTTGTACGCTTTTGGCACGGTCTTGGTATTCTTTCGATACTACGAGATCGCCAACAGATATATATCGCTACAACTTCCAATCGCCTTCTGATATCTGGTACGCAACCTTCTTGTAGTGGTGATCATAGTCAACAGCGACTCGACGCCGCACTACAATCTCAACGTAAATCCGATAGCATTATTTTATAATAATCCGGGCCAAAACTCCAATTTAGTGTAGGATGGCCTAGAAGGATGTTGTAACCCTATTAATATCTTCAACCATAGTCCGTGGACAATAAAGTGGAAGAACAGACGACAGAGATAACGTTTATTTTTAATAATAGCGATAGACTATA